GAAGTTGAGTGGGTTCCCAAGACCAGTCGTGAGCACAGGGTTCGCGTTGGCATCCGATCGGCAACTTGGTGGGGAAAGGCTTCCACGTCACACGTACCTGCACAGGCAGTCGAAGTGAAAACCCTCGCAGCGTCAGCATCACTGGGGTGTGGGGCCCGCACGGCGCTGAGTGCAGCGCCCTGACGTCGACGACACTGGACGCCACACCTCGTGAGACAAGGAAAAAGTCCAGGCACCTGGCGGAGCCTGTCGCTGCAAACGTAGGCACCTTAGGGGCGATGATCGTCGCTCCCAGCAGCTGGCTCCACCGCTGGAGCCCCAGGTTACTCGGCTCCATGTTCAGGTCCCCTCCCAAGATCCAAGGGCGCCCACACCCTTGTAAGAAGGCTCCCAGGTCCTCCAGAAGTTCCAGGTTGTCTCCAGAGCATTCCTGACCCACGTGCGAGTACAGCGATATCCACAAGAAGCCCGTGGGGATCATAGCATCGACATGCATGGCCGAGACCCTCCCAAGAGCAGAACGTCGGAGGCTCAGCTCACTGTCCAATAGCGGTCTGCATCGGATGTGCGAGGCTACCCCCGTCATGGTCCCCGCGCTCGTGGCCAACTGGTGATCTCCCGTCCGAACAGCAGGATTGAACGTGGCTTTAACCCCACGGAGGCTGGCCCATTTCTGAGCAGACCGAATCGAGGCTTCCTCCAGACGGGTCTCCTGGATGGCCCACCCGTGGGCCTTCTCCCCGCACTGCAGCTGCCATTCAAGAACTTCCTGGGCCGAGGACCAAGAGTTGGGGTTCAGGGTGACGAAACGCCAGTTGGTTTTATTGCGCTGCTGCCTGCGGCGCCGAGCCTCAGGCCGAGCAGGAGTCGCTGTCGTAGCGCTGCAGGTCGCGCTCAGGCTCGTCGTGGCCGAGGAAGAGGCTGGTGAAGTCAATGACTGAGCCTCCGCCGACTGTGCGCTGGCTGACTCGCTGGTCGACGCGGTCGGCTGACTCTGGCGATCTGTCGGCTGCTCGCGGGTGTCCATCCATGCGGCCGTGCTGCTCTGCGAGTCCACGTGGCGGTGGACCTCCTCGTCGTAGTCCTGGGCCGATGTCTCTCGCAGCTGCAAGAAGTATGCCCAGTAACGGCCCCGTGAGCGTGCCTGATCTGCCCACGATCCACTGCAGAAGTCTCTGGCCAAAATCATTCTGGCCTCCACATCATCTACGCCGTGAGCTGCCGCAGTCCTGGCCACCATAGACTGGAAGGCCGTTCCCGCCAGCACCCTGAACACGTACGGCACGCAGTAGTATCGCCAGTGTTGGCGAGCATTCAGCTCGTCGTGCACGGCTGGCTCTGGATAAAGCCAAGTGCTCGCCCATGCCCTCAGCAACGCACGGAGGCGATGCCGCTCCGTGCGCTCTACTCGCTCTTCATCGGCCTCGAAGGTGTCGGCGGTGTCGTAGCACCTTGGATCGGCCATGTGGGAGTCACTGCCGTTGCGGTCTTGCACGTCCTGCAGAGTGTCCTGCTGCTGGTGGCAAGCTGCGTCAGCTCGGACCAGGCCCCAGTCGTCGTCGTCGGACTCGCTGAGGTCCACCAGGTCGCTGCTGCCGCGGTGGTCGAGGTCCCAGCCGTCGTCGCTGTCCGAGTCGGATGACGCCGATGCAGCCGACGACCAGGGTCCCTCGCAGCTGGTCGTGACGCTGGGCCGCTGACCAGGTGGCCCCGTGGGCGGCGCAGGCCCTGTTCGGTCAGAGCTCGCTATCCATCTTCTCAGAAACTCATGATCCTCGCGGTGAATCGAGACGGCCGCGAGCCACTGGCTGAACGTGAGAGTATCCAGCCATCGCAGATAGGCTGCCCTGCTGCGAGCGCCACTGCGCCAAGCCCTATCGCACAGGTCCTTGGCCATCTGCTCTGCCGTGGAGCCGCGCGCCTGCAGCGTCCTCTGGAACTTGGGGGCCCGCAACTGCTCAATGACGTAGTGCTCGCACCAGTCAAGGAAAGCTTCCTTCTCGTCGGCGGCCTCGCCGACCCTTACGTCGTGTATCCATCTCCTAGCCCATCGCTTGATTTCCCTCTCAATCTTCGGCGCTGGGCTGCTGCGAATAACTGTGCGCCGAGGGCGCCGCTGACCGTTGCTCAACTTCACGAGGTAGGGGATTGCATCAGACCGACGGTGGTTGCAGTCCCTAGGGACTCCTTCGGTAAACCCCAGATGCATATCTTCAGGAAGGGAGAGTGCGTCACCGCTGCAATCCTGCGGCCTGGCCCCAGCAGGCGAGGTAACTGCATTACTGACGCTGTACATGGTGAAGTTGTGGATGCAGGCGCCTTTCCTAGCTCTCGATGGAGAGGCCGACAAAACAGGGTACTGCATCTGGTCATAGCTCAGGCCCGTGCTAAAGGCCCGACTTTGCCGACCCCTTGGCCTTGGACGCCTGCTCCAGCTTGGCCTTAGCCGCTTGGACCGCCGAGCTGGCCTTCCTCGTCGTGGTAGGCTGCCCGCTCGAGGCCGGCTCAGCGGGCGCGGCGGCGGTCGCTGCCGCCGGTGTGGCCGCAGCCTCGGGAGCGGCCGCTGCTGCGGCTTCAGGAGCTGCTGGTGATGCTGCTGGCGGTGCAGCCGCGTCGGGGGCTCCGCCTGGGACTCCGCCTGGGGCCCCTTCTTCGCCGCTGTCGTTGGACTTCCTCTTCTTGGCCGAGAGCCGCTCCAAGTGCCGCTGCTGTTCCTGCCCCAGCGCGGCCGCCTTCTCGCGCAGCGGCCCGAACAGCTTGTCGAGCGCTGACTTGAACTCCGAGGTGAGCTGCTCCTTGCGCCTCGTCGCCTCGTCTCTGTCTTCTTGGGACACCACGTCGCCCAGGGTCTCCAGGCCGAACATGTTCCCATCGTCGAGCAGCAGATCCTCGCCGTCCAGGAGCTTCGAGAGGTTGATGCGCGTGGTGGCCTGCGCGGTGTCGGGCTGGTCCGCGTCGGCGATGCTGGTGTGCAACTTGCGCACGCAGGCCTGGTAGTGCGCTCTGGCTGCGTCCAGTTCCTCGCTGTGCTGTTCCACCTCGCGCTGGGCCTGCTCGACCTGTTCCTCCAGCTTCTCAAGCTTGCCGACCGACTTGCTGAGGATGGACTCGGCACGGTCCAGGCGGGCCTTCGCCAGCTCCAGGGACATGTCGTCGTCGAGCTTGCTCTTGCGGTGCTCGTCGAGCCGACGCTGGTAGCTCGCGGCAGCTTCGGCGTCGCCAGACTCGGAGAGGAGGGCGACCAGGCTGACCAAGCGCTGCTCCTCCCTGTCCACGCTGTCGCCGATGACCTCGGGCTTGAGGTCGAAGGCGACCTGCGGTGGGCCGCGACTGGGCCTGCGCTCGCGCGACTGGGCCCGCCTGGGCGGCTGCGCAGTGTGCCATGGCCGCCTGCCCGCAGCGCCGCCTGCACCAGCAGCAGAAGGAGGAGCAGGAGACCGAAGGGCACCACGCTGAGCCGGCCTGCTGGGCGGCCGCGGTGGGGCCTCTGAGGGAGAGAGAGGCCCTCGGCAGTGCTTGCACCACCGCCACCATGCCAGGTTCTTCCCGCAGCCGCAGCCTTCGCACTTGACCATCTGCTGGTCGCTCGAGGCCGCGCCATTCATCGGCACGAGGGGTCCTGGCTGCTGTGCGCTGTGATGATCACGCAGCAGGCCAGCCGCCTGCCCCAGACGTGCCAGGGTCCTGGCCCACGAGCGATGTCGGCGCTGGCGCCGATGGTCGGCTCCCTCCCGAGGCCGCGCCGTGGCCGAGAGGCAGCACTAGGAAGAATCGCGGTTCTATCCGAACGCGCGTGAGGTTAGCCTGGAAGGGGGGCGTACGGTCCCAGGTATGCCCCCTGCGCTCAGGCCAAAACCTTGAGCCAAAATGGCTACGGACCCTCCTCCTCCTTCTCCTCCTCCTCCTCCTCCTCCTCCTCCTCCTCCTCCTCCTCCTCCTCCTCCTCCCCCTCCTCCTCCCCTCCCCTCCTTTTCCCTCCTCCTCCTCCTCCTCCTCTCCTCTCCTCCCTCCTCCTCCTCCTCCTCCTCCTCCTCCTCCCCTCCCCCCCCCTCCCCCTCCTCCCTCCTCCTCCTCCTCCTCCTCCTCCTCCTCCTCCTCCTCCTCCACAATAACTCAATATGAATACTACTCTCCTCCTTCCCCTGATGACGGTTTGGGAATAGTCGCCCCCCCTGCGTTTTGTTTTTTAGACACAAGATTCCCCGGAGTTGGGTTTTCGCCAACACTTTCTTAAAAAATGCTGCTCTCGCTGAGGCGCCGGCCTCATTTTCGGACCCCGCTCGTTCCGAATCGTGTTCCCGCTGCAGCGTTGGCCTCATCTCCGTGCTTCCGCTCGTTCCGAATCGTGCTCCCGCTGCAGCGCTGGCCTCATTTCCGCGCTTCCGCTCGTTCCGAATCGTGCTCCCGCTGCAGCGCTGGCGTCATTTCCTGTGCCATGCCACGGCGTGCAATGCAATGCTAGGTTCCGTTCCGCTGCGCGATGCCATGCCTTCAGCTGAAGCTGTGATATGCAGTGCTTAAGTGCTAGGTCGTGCTATGCCATGCTACGCTTTGATCTTCAACGCCAAGCTATGCAATGTTATGTTTGGGGCCGCTGTGCGATGCCATGCTTTGCGTTGCAAAGCTTTGTTGCAAAGCATTGGGATGCGATTATTCACTACGCCACGCCACGCCATGCTGTGACATACTACGCTTTGCGGTGCTCTTCTACGCCATGCCATGCCGTGCTCTACAATGCATCGCGTACCCTTTCGGGATCATTGCCCTGCTCGACATCCGACTGTGCGAGTAGAGAGGGGATCTACGCCATGGTAAGGGATGGGAGGGAGGGGTAGGATGTCAGATATGACGCGAGCGCACCTAGCTTGTCCTCCTCCCCCTCCCCCTCCCCCCTCTCCTCCTCCTCCTCCTCCTCCTCCTCCTCCTCCTCCTCCTCCTCATCCTCCTCCTCCCGACCCCAACAACCGCTCAAAACTCGATCCCCGGGGCCCGCCGCGGTCCTTGTACACGTCGGAGTACGAGGCGCCCTCGCCCCACCAGTCCGCCCGCATCTTGCAGACGGACGCCAGCGTCGCGTAGTCGTGGACCTCGAGGTCCAGGCTCCTGTCCTGAGGAGGCCCGCTCGAGGCAGGAGGACTCCAATGCATGGAGGATCGGTACTTTTGAGGCGCAGCGTGCCCTCTTGCCGGCCGGGGGCCTCCAAAGACGTCTGGAGGAATCCTGGGACCTCCAGAGTCCTCCGGGAGGAGGGAGGAGGAGGGAGGGAGGGAGGGAGGGAGGGAGGGAGGGAGGGAGGGAGGGAGGAGGAGGAGGAGGAGGAGGAGGAGGAGGAAGAGGAGGGGAGGGGGGGGGGAGGAGGGGAAGAGGAGGAGGAGGAGAGGAGGAGGGAAGGAGGAAGAAGAGTCATCCTGATAATGAAGGGGGGGAGGAGGCAAGGCGGAGATGGAGGACGGCAGCAGGCGAGGGACGACTACAGTAAACATTGATAGTAAGCTGTGCGGTCAGGATGAAAGGGTTAGGTCGGGCTTGTCCCCCTACAGGGGGATTTTGGACGAAGAATAAAAAATGATCCCAAATACTCAAAAGATACTCAAAAATAATCAAAACATAATCCCAGACTATGTTTTGACTATGTTTGAACATTCCCTTGTAGAGGGACAGGCCCGACTTGATGCAAGGGCCTTCCTTGGACGCCCGTACTGAGGCTCCTCGAGCGGGGCTGGCCATCGAGAGTGGTTTAGGATGGACCGAAGATCGGAAATCTTTGAGAATCGGTGGGGTTGGAGGATGTATCGGGCGCCGCGGCCGTTTCAGAGCGTTGCGGAACGCTCTGAGACCGCTGCGGAACGCTCAGGAACGGATCTATCTCGATCTGGCCATCGCTCGGACGTCCATTTCCCGTGTTTTTTTGGTTCCGTGCGTGTTTTTTTCGCCAAGTGATCAAGGATGCTCCTCGATGGTCCTCGCCGAAGGAAACATGCACACGTCCGAGCGATGCCAAGCTGATGCTAGGCCCGCCCGACCCCTCCCCTCCTCCTCCTCCTCCTCCTCCTCCTCCTCCTCCTCCTCCTCCTCCTCCTGCCTCAAAACCAAACCTACGGCGGGTTCGCGTCGTGCCGACCTCGGGCGTGGATCCCTGACGCCGCGGAGATCGCTCACCCGTGAGCGATCGGCGGTTTTGAAGGGGCCCTGGGACACGCAAGTAAATACACATAAATAAAATTGATCCCCATATTTTCCTATGTGTTCTTGGTTTTTGTCTCCCCTCCCACTTCCCATATTTTCCCATATTTCCTGGGGAGTCGACGATTCATTGTGTCTGTGTGCTTTTTTCCCTCCTGAGGTTTCAGCAATACCCGCTCGTTCAACATCGACCAAGTCTGGGTCGCCCGCGGCGTTCATTGTTGAACGCTGGCGGCGGGGTCGCCGCTGGTCGACACGACGCAGACCTACCGAACCTACCGAACCCTGCCCCAAGGCCCGCTCCTGGTTCCTGCAGCGCGCTTCGAGCAGGATGCCGAGGCGAGTCCAGCCCTGGCGGCGACCGCCTTCCCCCCAGGCGGCCCAGAGAGGGCGAGAACCTTCCAGATCAGGGGGGGCGAAAAAGGGGACTGGCAGGCGAGCCCAGAATCGAATCGACAAGTCGGATCGGCGATCGACATGAATCGGATCGGCGGAAATCGGCAGCCGCGTCGGGAAAAGCCGAATCGGTAGACATCGCCAGGCTTGAGAACTCGGATCCCGAAGCGGAATCGGAGGCCATCGAAACCGAATCGAACCGAACCGCAGGACCCGAGCCGAGCCCAGGACTGGCCCACCGAGGGAAACGACATAGACACCCCATTGCCCAGACGCAGCCTTTCTCGGGCTTGGTGCTCCACTCTGCTCGGGAAACCACATCGCCGGTCCAACGGCAACGCATCGCTGATTGTTGATCGATGCACCCACCCTGAGTCAGCACTCTCGTTAGGAGGCAATTACTGGGAGGTTTTCGTCGGAAAGACTAAAGAGGATTCAGCCCCAATTTGGGAGCTGTTACGCTGGAAAAGGCCTCGGACTCAGCAGGAGTAAGCGGGATTAAGCAGGATTTAGCGGGATTAAGCAGGATTAAGCCAGACTTCGGACCAGGGCGAAAACAGAATTTGACCTCCCAGGAGTTGCATCCGAACTCCCCTTCCGCCCCACTCCAAAGATATTCCTGCTTCTTCCTTCCGGCCCCATCCCGCTTCTACTCCAGGAGTCCTCCAGAAACCCACAGGAAACTCTCAGACGGCCTCAACGAACCCCCGAGAAGCACCCAGGAGCTTTTTCTGGCCCTTCCAAAGGTCGGGGCGAGCCTTCATGCCTGAAGACGGCCCGATATGGACCCACGTCGGCCTCATCCCGACCCGAGAGACCTCCAAGAGGCACTCCGGGAGGGCCCGAGAATGCCAGAAGCATTGATTTGCCATGGGCGTCTCAACGACTTCCGCTGTCGAGAAGGCCCCAGGGACTTCCGAAGCAGCCCCAAGACGGCCCGAGGTGCCCCCCAGCTTTCCGATCCATTTTGGAGCCCCGGAGACCCGCTGGGCCTCGTGAAGGGTGCCCCAGCGGCCGTTTGGGCCACCCCGAGAATCCTGGGGGCACCTTGGGCCAAGGGTACATCTAGCAACACCCGATAAGGGAGCCCCAAGATGGGCCGACTGGTCCAGAAGACTCCCTCGATGGCCCCAAAAAGGCAGCACGAGACCTCCCGCCAGACTGGCCCCCGAGACGGCTTCCGGAGGCGACCGACGGGGCAAGAGAGCCCCCCGGGGGCCCCCCAGGAGGCCTCCATGAGGCCCCCAGGAAGCCCACAGAAGCCCCCACGAGGGCCCCCAGAGACCTCCTCTTCCTTCCCCTCCTTCCTCTCCTCCCCCAGTTCCTCCTCCCTCTTTTCCCCCAACGGCTGGTGGAGCACATCGTGTAGTATCTCGGGATGGCTCCTGCCCACCGCTGGCCACGTAGGCGATTGGCAAGGGGCGGCGGCGGTTCGCCGCATGCGTCTTCGACTGCCAGTACTACGTGTTAGCCAGCGTGGAGCACAAGCTTTGCTTTGTGCAGTGCACGTGGTCCCGTGGTGCAACATATGTTATGCAATTCATGTTGTGCAATACAAGTGGTGCAGGCTATGTGGTGCGATATGTGTATATATATATATACACATGTATTTATATAATGTACTGAAAACGTGACTACCTATATACATCGAAAACTGATCCAACTAGACCTGCGTCCCGCTGGGGGCCGCTGGGTCCCGAACGCGCCTGGAAGGCCCAAGACGGCTCCTGATGGCTTCCAAAGGGCCCCAAGCTGGGCCAAGAGGGCTACGAGACGCCCACGATGGCCCGGAGACAGTCCCAGAGGCCCCCTCGTCGCCCCAAAGCGCCCCAAGAGGCCCCCCAAAGAAACCCCAATACTTAGTGGGCCCTGGAAGCGACAAAACCGTTTTTTTACCGGTTCCGTTTTGCCGTTTGTTTGCCGGTTCCGACGCCGTTTTTTACCTGTTCCGTCGCCGTTTTATTGACCGGTTCCGGCCCCGGTTCCAATCCTGGAACCGTTCTTTTCCCGTTTCCGGTCCCTGTTTTTTTTTGCCGTTTCCATGTTCAAGGGACGTGTCTTTGGAAACGATGAGAAGGCGGCCCTGCCGTTTCCGGGACCCACTAAGACCCAATATGCCAAACACATAAAAAAACTTTGAACGCTTTTTCAGATCAGTGAGCTTGCTTGACGCACGCAAGACATCCGCCGAGGAACTGCTAACAGAGGGCTTCGGCAAAATGAAAACATCTCCGAACACAGTTCCATCGTAGTTGTCTCAAATCCGCCGAGGCGAGTGATGGCCTTGGGTAGGTGGAGAATAACTTCAGGGTGAACAACGATCGACGAAACGCTTACCACTCTCGCGCAGCAGTTCCATGAACGCTTTTTCTGATCAGTGAACTTGCTTGAGGCACGCAGGACATCAGCCGAGGAACTGCTAACAGAGGGCCTCGGCTAAATCAAAACATCTTCCATCATCCAACACAGCCATTACTCAAGCATGTACTGAACTCGCTATTTAGAATAAAGTCATCGTGTGTACGTTGCTTTACGGAAACTTGCATTGTGGAGAGAAGAGGCCAGGAGGGAACAGAGAAGGGGAGGATAGGCATTCCTCAACTTAGTCAAACGTCCCTGCTGTTTGCCGGTGAACTCTAGGAAGGGTCGATGCTTGAACTGGCAAGTGCCACGACCGCGACAGCGAAGCAGGTCCAAGACTGGATCGGGCCTGCAGCACCAAAACCTGTAACGAGTGCGGCAGCGAAAAGGCCGTCCGCAGGCACAGAAATCGATCACCCGCCCAATGGGAAACCCAGAATTCCACAAGGTTTGGCGGTCGGGGCAACCACAAACAACTCTGCCACGGATTTTCTTCCCCTCCAAGGACCCCATCTAGCAATGAGCAGACTTCGGATCATCATCCCGCCGGTCCAAGACGGTTGGAATCAAGAAGAAGGCGCTGGTCTCCCTCAGAGGGCCCAGGGAGACCCATAGGGCGTTCGGGGGATCTGATTGCGCGGGGCATCCCACTGGACACACGGGCGCGGCGGGCTCTAGAATAGACCTCACATGGGGCTCCAAGCCACACATCATTTACCTTCTGACTAGCTATCGATCCTCGAAGCACGTGCGACACCGCAGGTACAAACATATTAAAGCATTCTCCATTTCTGATGTCCCCATCTATCGCGGCCTCACCTCGGGCTTTCAAGTGCTGAGCTCGCAAACTCCCGAGAACATCTGAATCGCCCCTCGCGTTTGCCGTCCGCGCGCGGCCTGGGGCGCAGCGCGCAAAGCTGCGCGCAATCGAGCTCGATACCAACCGCGCGATGGCGCCGCTGGCGCGCGGGTACCTCGCCAAGCTTCTGCAACTTTACGCCGACACTGTTGAACTTTTCGCATCGGGTGGCGCTCTCGACGGTGCGCCACCTGCCCCTCCGTAGGCCGTCCACCAGGGTTCTGGCGGCCACGTCGCGGTCGCGGCCGGCGCCTCCACGGTGGAGGCAGCAGGGCGCGGCCTGCAACCCCGCGGCTCCAACAGCATTCA